AAACGCAAGAAACTTCCAAGAAACACATTTGAAAAAAACTGAGGAATTTTGGAAGCGGTGAGCGCAAAAGCTTACGTTTGCTGAATCTTCGTAGCGCAAAAGACGAGTCCTCATTTCGTACGCGGACCCATATCCCACCCTAGAAAAAGGCGGACAAAACAACTGCAACTTGTCGCGTCGTCGCGCGCGGGGTACCGTGCGGTAAAACCTTGATATGTACGAATTTGTTGAACCACCAAAACCCACATGAATTCAACGGAAGCAAGACCACATGATGTGCTACATCGAAGTTCCCCCGCCCCTTCAGCACTCAAATCTAATTGGCTAGACAGGACAACTCGTCTTTAAGGTGCGACATCGCTTGCCACGCCGAAAAGTGCGACATAATGCAGTTGTCGTGCCACTTACCCGAGTTCCAAGAGGAAACCCGGCGGAATGGTCAAATATGTCGCAGTGATATTTTGTTGATGAAAAGTTGGCAGGAGATGAGCGCTCAGTCTATTCTTTACAGTTTTCCATTGGTACTGCTAGGTGCGTAATTTGCCACGCACTGCACATACCTGTTCATAGTTTCGAAGCCATGCAGGAGTGCCGTAGAACTTCTTCAAAACGTCATTAACAAACAACCAAACGTCTCGACAGCTTACGATAACATCGCCCTTGAAAGCGACCTTTTATAAGATGTTAATGATGAAGCTATATGGGTTAGAACCTACGTTACCCATCCTATTGATTGCTTCAACAAGGTCGGGAGGGATATCTGTAGTGGTATAGTACGCAACACTTCCCATTTTTTCTCCTCCGCTATATGAAAGGCACTTTCCACTAGCTGCTATCTCAGCACACAAATACTGGGCCTGTTCGGAATAGAAGGATTAGACTGTGATTCCAACAAACCTCGAACCACTAAAGTAGTTAGGCAGGTGGGGAACATCCGACCTGTGCCTCTGAGCTCCTGCCCCTAGCAAAGGCAAATGTGTAGAGGCCAAACGACCAGTGATTAGAATAAGCTCGCCGCTGCTCGTCGGCCCTATCTCCCAAGTCGCAATGGATGTAAGGCGGCGTTCAGACTTCGCGCTGACGCGCTTCAACATGCTGATTCGCGATGACGGGTTGTAACGAGCTGTAACGCGTTTTGAGAGAATAAGGACAATAATATGAGAGCAGGCGCTGCCTAATCATAAGACGGGAACTGTCCGTGAGTGTTTTAGAAGTGATTAGAAGAACAGGAGGGTAGCAGAAGGTGTAAGGATAGCGCATTCCCTCCCATTATCCAATCACCTGTATCACCTGTGCTCCCGTTGATCATCGAGTTCCTCGAGCGGGCGCCAGTAACGTCTCCATTCGTCCCTGCAACGTGCAAGAGTTGCCCAATGAACTCTCTCTGCAGTTGGGACATGCTCTGACGCAGCTCGGATCGTCCTCGAAACGCATGACGTGCCCGGCCCACCTGATCTTCGAAACCTTGGCGAAAAGCGGCGTCTCTGATCTTCGATCGTCGGCGGAGTGCGGAGCTCCGGATTCCCTCTCTCACTTGCGTGTAGCGGGAAACTCCGAGCATCGCCCTTTCGATGGCGCGTTGAATAACGCCGACCGCATGCTCATCCTGCTTTCGTAGAGTCCAAGTCTCTGAGGCGTATGTAAAGGCAGGAAGAAGCGGAATCGAAGAGGTGGGCACGGAGCTTGGTGTTCTTCGTCTTCTTCGCTACTCCCTCGATGTTCTTGAAGGCTCCCCAAGCCGCTCGCTTCCTCCTGCTCAGCTCTGGAGCTAAGTCATTCATCATATTGATTTCACGACCTAGGTACACATAGCTAGAGCATTCAGAGATGGTCGTTCCGTTGAGCGTGAATGGGGCATCAGATACCAATCCGTTTCTCATGAACATCGTCTTCGTTAGATTCAGTAGACCGATTTTTCCACACGCGCAGTCGAATTCAGCCAGCATTCGTTCCGCTTGCTCGATGTTTGGTGTTATCAAAACGATGTCGTCAGCAAAGCGGAGATGGTGTAGTTGCCGACCGTCGATCTTCACTCCCATGTCTTCCCATTCCAGTTGACGCATAGAGAGAGCGTTGTAAAGCATCATATCATATGTAAATTATATAGACTGTGTATTTGTGACCCACTGTTGGGTTGCTGGGGACCGGAGGCGACCTATCCCGAGGCTAATGACCAGGGGCTCATTAACTGCCTGAGGATATTGCCAGGAGCAAACGGATGACCCCTCAGGTACCAAAGGGTCGCCCCGCCCCCTCTCGCGCCACCCATATATAGCGAGGTCATACAGTATTACTTACTCTTTCTCTTCGCACTCACTCGCCTCCGCCTGTCTTCAGTGTCCCAACACGGGACAACTATTGTACTGAATAAATATTCCTTCTATCTGTGTTCAACAGCAAATCTAGTCAACTACTACACTACTTCGGAATCGAAGTAAACCACTTGGGGGCCAAGCCGAACTGGATTAACAGTTGAACTTGCAGATAATCGAGCTGAAATGTCTAGTACAACAAGCTGCAACGAGCACGAAATGGATCAAATCGACGGCACAAATCCTCTAAACGATTGGAACGCAATCGGAGTAAGTTGCGAATACGAGGACATAAATAAGTGCTTCGAAAACATCCTGGTTCAGCTCAGCGAGGTACTAACTGACCAGATACGAAATTTCTCAAGCGCTAAGCGCGGAATCATTTTGGGAACCGTACGGGAAACAGTACGGAATGCTCTAGTCAAGGTCAAAAATCATCTAGAAGGAAGGGAGCAGTCAACAAGCTCCTCGTTTTTCGATGAGGTCCAAATGTCAGTAGAGGAGTTGCGCGAATTTTTGCCTACTGTCAGCTCGCACAGCCGTACCCTCTGCCAGATCGCAGCAAGACTCGGCTGCGAGCTGAACCAGGTAGCTGAAACAGTAGATAAGCAGTGTGTTAGAGTAATAGAGATGGAAAACAGCTTGTCCTCGGCACTGGCGGCGAGGAATGACCTCGAAAGTAAGATAAGGATATTGCAGGCGCAAGTTACTCAAATGGCGGGTCCGTCAATGTCGGAGGCCCGAAGCGCAGATGTTGCCACCGCAGGTGAGGAAGTTAATGACTGGAACAATATTCGCAGCCATTACACATCACTCAAAGACAGAGAAAATTCTGTTCAGAGACGGAACGGACTCCACCACAAGAGCGATGGACCTCACTGCGTCCCAACAGCAGCATCGCAAAAGTCGTCACGGCAGTGCTCGCCGGTGTCTTCCCGAGAATCGACGAGTGGTGAGTCCCTATTCAGTACCAGCTATTCTAACACTAGTCAGGCACACGCTGTGGACCCTATTAGCATGTTTAGTGCTTTTAAGGAGGTTTTTAAAACCCAGTGCGTCGCGGATGTAAGGAAATATAACGGAAAAAATTCCTTAAGCGAGTTTCTTCGGGCAATAGAAGTGAAATTTCCCGCCACGTTGTGGAAAGACTCGGATAGACGCGACTTGCTAGTGAACCACTTAGAGGGGACGGCTCTGTCACTCTATAAGGGTTTCTCAGATATAGTCAAGCAAGGGACCTTCAACGGTGTCGTTGAAGCGCTCAAGGCAGCGCGTAAAAATCCCTGTGATCGACTGAGGGATATCAAAGAATGGGAGAGTCTCTCCAAGAAAAACGGCGAATCTGTCGTAGATTTTTGTTGCCGCATGGAAGATCTGTCTCGAAAAATACACCCGAGCAGCGAGTGGGATTTTATAAGAGGGTCCAAGTTGTACTCCTGTTTTCAACACTGGCAAAATTCATATTACATGATGGCGGCATTGGATGCGCCAGAGGGACGAGTCTACGAAGAGGTGAAGAGAGTTGCCATGCGGCTGGAAAAGCTGCAAGTTCGATAGCAACACCCAGTTGCGTTTCCAGAAAAGGGGGTTTGATCGACAAGGTAGCGACCCTCAAAAGACTCCCTCTTTTAATACGACCAGTGAACAAGCAGGAACCCTAGCCAAGTCCATACCCAAATGCAACTTTTGTGGAAAAAGGGGACATCTGGCAGCGGACTGCAGAAAAAGGGAGAAACCCTCGAACCACAAGTATCGTGAGAACGGTCACAACCGCAACTATAACGATACGCGAAACAACGCAGCTGGAGGTAGCTCGCTTGTAACGGAGTTAGACAGGTGGTGTAAAACTGTCCAAAGAAAAGGGGAAGACCCAAAACTCCAGTCAGGCGCTGTAGGTAAACCAAGCACTTGTGAAGTGGAAATTTTCGGTATTACAGCAAAAGCGCTCGTAGACACAGGCTCTGTGATTTCGATTATCCCTGTTGGGCTCCTCAAGAGAGTGCGCGAACAAGGCGTTGATCTTGATGCTAAGGCACACATCGTAGGCGATGGGAAACAACGTAGACTTTTCGATGCGTCGGGGAATGCGATGAGCTTCCTTTCGGAAATAACAACAGAAGTAATGGTCATAGGAGCTAGCACGGCCTGCGTGCATATGCACGTGCAGCAAAGTAACGACGATACGTTGTTATTAGGTACTAATGCTTTAGAGGTTCTGGGGATTTCTCTGAAACTGACCCCAAATGTACACGCAACGCGGAATGGCTTTGCAAATCACCCGTGTTCTCATGCTGCGTACTCAGACAGGAGGGTAGTAGTCGGGCCAGGTAAAGTAGCCACAGTAAAAATTTCTGGTGGATTTAGCAAGGGAGCTTGCATATTTTGGTCCAAAAATCCTCGTATAGAGTCTGGTGTATGCCAGGTAGATGAAGGCAAAGCTGAACTGTCAGTCATTAATAAAGGTTCAGAACCCTGGGTAATAGGCCGAGGAGAGGACCTAGGGAGGTGGTCAACGGAAACTTGGGTTGACCCCAGAATAGCCGATGTCCCGAGCGATATGATGAACCTACGTCAGCCCACTGCGTTACAGGATGCTGAAAGGATCCATGTACTTTTGGACATATTGAATAAAAATCGAAAAGCTGGGAACTTACCCGATGAAATGCGTAGAGTGATTGAAGAATACAGCGACGTTTTTGCTATTTCGGATACGGAACTAACGCAAACGGATTTAGTCACTCACGACATTGATGTGGGTGATCATCCACCCATCCGACAGAAAACAAGACCCGTCCCCTACGGAATACGTGCGGAATTGGACGTAATGTTGCGGGATCTTAAAGAAAGAAGGGTGATTGAGGATAGTCAATCCCCGTGGGCATCCCCAATAGTATTAGTAGCCAAGAAAGATGGGACTACTCGATTGTGTGTCGATTATAGGGAGGTCAACAAGGTGACGAAAAAGGATAGTTACCCCCTACCGCCAATCGATATCACATTGCAAATTTGCAAGGAAAACGATGGTTTTCATCGCTAGACCTAGCTAGTGGGTACTGGCAAGTGCCCTTAACCGAAAAGGCAAAGGAAATTAGTGCGTTCACTACAACATCAGGGCATTTTCAATTTCGTGTCCTCCCTTTCGGCCTTACGACAGCACCAGCAAAGTTCCAACGATTAATGGACAATGTGCTGGGTGAATTGTTAGGTCCTGAAGTTTCAGTTTATATCGATGACATCTTGATTGCCACCGATTCCTTAGAACGGCATGTTGACATCATGCAACGGGTGCTCAGCGCCTTTAGGGAAGCCCATTTGAAGATTAAACCTCAAAAATGTCGCATAATGGAACCTAGTATAGAGTTCCTGGGCCATGTGGTAGACGAGAACGGTGTCAGAGCAGACCCGGAAAAGATAGCACGTATTCAGGATTACGCCCGACCACAGAACATAGCCCAACTACGAACATTCCTGGGTATGGCAGGATATTATCGCAAGTTCGTGCTGCGTTTTTCGCAGATCGCCAAACCCTTATATGACTTGACAAGCGCAAAAAGGTTATTTGTGTGGACAAATGAACACACCTTAGCTTTTGAAATGCTTAAAAAGGCACTCACGGAGGCTCCAGTTCTTAGCGCAACCAAATATAGAAAAGCAAGGGACGGATCTCGCCCCTTTGTTATCTATACAGATGCTAGTAGGGTAGGCATAGGCGCGGTTCTAGCTCAAGATGGAGATGACGGCTTGTTGCATCCAGTATTTTTTGCTTCTAAGCACTTGTCTGGAGCTGAGAAAAACTATCATGTCACTGATCAAGAAGCGCTAGCCTTGATTTTCAGCCTCAAAAAGTTTCATTATTTTATTTATGGTGTTCGTACTATAATTCGGACAGATCATGCTGCTCTCACCTCGCTCTTCAAGCGAACCAATGTTTCCCCACGGGTTTTGAGGTGGGCGCTCGAAGTTCAGCGTTATGACCTGACTATAGAGTTCGTGAAAGGAACTGCCAACGTGGTTGCGGATGCGCTGTCACGAGGGCTTCCTATACAAGACAGTAGCGTCCCAGGTTATGCTGAGGACGAAAAAGTAGTCTGCACAGTTCAAGAAAATGACTGGCTCGTGGAACTTCGTCAGGACCCTGACTTTGAACTTTTGATAAAATGCCTCGAGAATGGTGAGACTGAAGAAGTCAAACTTCCTAGGCACGGTAAAGTTCTTAGCACCGCTGATTTTGTTTTGCATGACGGACAATTAAGTTTAATTAATGAGAACGGATCGCTGGCGACCGTGGTACCACGCTCGCGAAGGCGAGAAATTTTCGATGAAGCCCATTCAGGTATTCTAGGCGGACATTTCAGCGCCAAGAAAATGTTTATGCAAATGAGAAAAAGCCTCTTTTGGCCAGGAATGTATCAAGATTTGGTCAGTTGGTGCCACAGTTGCCAAAGCTGTTTCTTGACTAATCAAAGGACAGAAAACGTGCCACCCTTACGGCCTATTGAAGTCACAAGACCACTTCAGATAGTCGGCGTCGATTTATTAGAAATGGGCTTGACCACGCGAGGAAATCGTTACATTGTCACCATTATCGACCATTTCACGAAATATTTAGGTGCGTACCCCATAGCGGACAAGAAAGCGGAAACCGTTGCTGAGGCCATTTTTAGCAATTGGGTTTGTGGTGCCGGAAGATGGCCAGAAGTACTTCTCTCCGATCGAGGGAGCGAATTCGAAAATGAGATAATGGCCGCTCTCTGTAAAGTTATGGGAATAGCACAAAAATTCACTAAGGGGTACTGCCCCCGAGAGAATGGACTGACGGAAAGGGTCAATGGGACCATTGTTAGAATGTTGAAAAAGAAAACAGTGGTAGCTGCGGAATGGGATCGAGTTCTACCGACCGTTGTTTATGCGTATAACGCGTCCCCGCATGCAGCACGGGAGAAAGTCCCCATTTTTTTGTTGTATGGGCATGATCCGGTATATCCTTCAATGTCAATACCTTCGGAACACCTATCGCCTTACATCGTGGACTACGATACCTACAAGACAGAACTGCTTTGCGGACTCAAATTAGCGCAAGAATGCATCAGTGAAAACGCGAAGGAGTATCGTGACAAGATGAAATTAGCTTATGACAGAAGGTACAAAACAGCTTCCTCGGTAGTTTTCAGGACAGGTGATAGAGTTTATATGAAGCTTCCTGCCGAGAAAGGCAAATCGCGGCATCCCAAATTAGCAACTGAGTGGTCTGGTCCATTCAGGGTAATTGAAGCCAGCGCTAACTCAGCATTGGTCACTTTGATCGGTGTAAATGAAGAACCGGTTAGGGTTCAGTTTGACCATTTAATTAAAGTACCTAAGGAGATAGGTAATGACAGAGTCATAGGGACCACAGCACGTGCAAAACGTGGTAGAAGAAAGAAAAATTCAAACTTCAGTAATGTACTATCTATTCAAAAATTTCATTTCAGCGCACCATCATCGTCCGAAGACAACGTTCGCCATGTAGATTGGAGATGTCCGGGAAGCCTGGAGGTCAACGGACAACGAGTGCACTGCTCTGTCAACAACGCCATCGGAGAACTTCTCCCAAATATTGTTCTGCCGTCATGTGTTTTTCGATCACCGTACCAACTCGCACGATTAATTGCTGTCGCTACGCAGTCACATATACCCGAAAATTTTCGAGTCGCCCGACTTTTGGATACCAGTTACGATCTGATTACACTAATCTCTTTGGTTTGGTCATGTCCTTTTATCGCAGTCGTTGCATCCACACTGCCCTGGCGAGCGTGGCTGATGCCACCACACCAACGGCGGCTTTTCCCCCTCGCAGTACCATGGATCCCTATCATTTGCCAAGGATGTATACAGAAGCGCTACAGATAGCTAACGCCCATCCTTGGACCGGCAACAGCGGAATAGCTGTCAAACTACGCCGCACATTGATCATTCTACCAGAAGGATTCCAGGATGTACTGGCTGGATTTGAAACGGCCACAACAATTGCAAAGTCAGCTCGCACCATAGAGGAACTCGAACCCCTCTGGTTCGAGGAAGAGTTCAGCGCCATCATCCTATTCTCGCCAGCTCACTACACCGAGCCAATGGAGGTGCAGAACTTATTGCAATTGCGGGACCACAGGACGACGCAGACTGGGGCAGATGTGTTGATCTTCTTCGAGACTTCATCGAAGAAACTTCTGCCCAGCGACCGACTCTCAAGCAACGCCTTCGTTGCCTCCTACCTTTGCGATCTCAAAACTTCTCTGTGGATGCGCCGTTCAAAATATTGGCGGATAAAATTAACCTGGTATCAGGTCGGCACTTCACGCAGAGCGCAGCAAAGAGGTTCTGGTCCTTCTACCTTGAAGGCACACAGCTCAGTGCTGTGCTTGCCGGAATTCCATCGTCTCCCGGATCATCATAGACGCGCTCCAGTAAGGCCATTTCAAGAAAGGAACAGCGACTCCTATCACCACGCCTATGGTAGCCAGCGCGGATATCGCCGTGATGCACAGAAGGAATCGTTTCATAGAAGCCACCGCTCTTGCTCCACATCGCGAACGTTCACTTCAGAGAACCGCCACGACTTCAGCAGACGCTCGCTTCGTGGGCGCGTTTGGAAGGGGGATAAGCGCAGTGGAAGCGCTTCGTTATTCCGGGGGGGACCCATGTAGGATAGAGCGTTGTAAAGCATCATATCATATGTAAATTATATAGACTGTGTATTTGTGACCCACTGTTGGGTTGCTGGGGACCGGAGGCGACCTATCCCGAGGCTAATGACCAGGGGCTCATTAACTGCCTGAGGATATTGCCAGGAGCAAACGGATGACCCCTCAGGTACCAAAGGGTCGCCCCGCCCCCTCTCGCGCCACCCATATATAGCGAGGTCATACAGTATTACTTACTCTTTCTCTTCGCACTCACTCGCCTCCGCCTGTCTTCAGTGTCCCAACACGGGACAACTATTGTACTGAATAAATATTCCTTCTATCTGTGTTCAACAGCAAATCTAGTCAACTAATACACTACTTCGGAATCGAAGTAAACCACTGTGTCATTGGTGATATCTAATCAAGGACGGAGGCGTTACGAGAAACGAACTGGAAGATTGTTGTAAATATATGTCGAGATATGTGTCAGGAAAAACTATTTAGGCCAAATGCAATAAAATTTTTTGAACAATGTGCTGTCTCGCCACTCGGAGTATAAGTATATAGTAATGATAATCTGCTGTTAATGGAGTAAGGGACCGAGTACAAGAATCAGGGAGAGCAAGAAAGCACCTTTGTGCAACAAAGTTGTAAAAAAAAAACAGTTGTTAGGAACCTTTGGGTGGACGTTAACAAGGAAAAATTACTGTGAGCGAACTGAGAAGAAGAATGTGTCATGATCCTGAAATGGTCATGAAACTATACTCTTCCAGTAAGCTAACAACATAGAAAATTTTAAGCAACTGTACAAAACTCACCACTGGTTTATAGCCGCAGTTGTACAGAAATACAATGAATAATCGATAATCGTTGATAGCTGGACAAAATAATACCAGAGAAATGAATTGTTTGTATGAATAAGGAGTAGCATAATAATAGTGGGGGGGGTTGCAATAGCTGGTAAGGCGAAAGAAGTTGAAACCGCTCAAAAACGGAAGAGAATGCGAAG